TCCCTTCTCCCCTCCAAGGGGTCCGAGAATGATCTTGCAATTCTAGGGCTGTTGAAGGGTTGCCAAGGGGTCCGAGAGGTTTGCGAGCTTTTGGTCAGTTCCAGACTACCTTCCCAATCTTGGCGCAGTGGTGGAGCAGTGACACTCCCTTTTCCCCTCCAACCTCTTTTTCTCCACTTTCCTTCTCTTGCTCCCTTTTATCTTTTGCCAATTATTGTCTAATGCTACCCTTACTGTTTTAAAAAATTACCATTATCGTTAAAATATTAACAGAATGGTTGAAATGTCCGTTTTGCCCTCTCTTAAACACCTAAGTTTGCACCCATTTTCTAAGGCCCGGTTAATTAATTCTTCTCACCTCCTTTCTCGTTTCTCCCCCCTCATCTCAATCTTTCCACATCTGTAGCCCATCACCTTCTCAGGCAAAGAACAAAGCAACACTTGACGGCAATGAGACCACTTTTCTAACCTTTTTCTTTGTATATCCTCATCCAGTTAAGCCATTCTCATATCCCTTCGCCCTTGATTCGTTAAAGCATTAAGGCTCCAATTGGTTTATGGGAAGATTTGGGTGGGATGGGATGGGATGGGAAAGTGTAAAAATTACCTTTCTATTGTTTGGTTTTATATATGGGAAAACATTGTTACAAGGGAGAAGAGAGAAGAAGGTGAGGGAGAAGAGAGAAGAGAAAGATGGAGGGAGAGACAAAGAACTCCATGACTGAAGCTCTGATCTGTGTCTTCAAACCCAGATCTAAGTTCTACCATGGCAGAAAACCTTCGATCTGTATTTGCATCGATCTAGGTTCTACTATAGCAGAAACATCTTCAATGGTGGTTACCAACAGTGGCGGTGGTTACTAGCAGCGGCGGTAGTTACCAACAGCGGCGGGGTAGAGGATGAAGATGAAGAAACTCGAGTTTTCTTGAGTTTTTCCACCAGGGTCGCACGGTTTTTGTGCGACCCGATTCCACAATTTTGGGATCTCGCATCCTACTTTTTTCTCATCCCATCCCCCTGTTTCCCTTGAAACAAATGAGAGAAAAAGAAATATTCTTAAAATACTCCATTTTTCTCATCCCCATCCTACAAACCAAATGGAGCCTAAGGGAGAAATTAGGTTTTGTCGCCCCTGATTACCGCTCATGTAAGTTTTGTTGCCCTTGATTACCGCTACTGTGTCGACTGTGTCAAGAGGTTCGAGACGAAGGTGAATAGTTGATATTGGGTCATTGTTTATATTCGATGGGGAGTGAGAAAGGGAGAAGAGAAACTGGAACCGTATTTTCTTGACATTTCCTTTTCTCTTTAGAGAGACAACTGCCACTCCATGTGAAATACAGAAGTAACTGCCATGCGAAATACACGAGGAATAACCTTTTTTCAAGCCCAACTTGTCACACTTGGTCTTTTTCAATTTTGTACTTCACAACCAAACTTCTCGATCTCTGTGCCATCTCCCCGTTCGAGAGCCTCGACTATGCCGGTGAGATTTTTAGTTGAATTGAA